CCCCACCTTATTTAAATCAGACGAAATAGGGGTCAATTAACTCAGCTCCGTTTGTGCAGCAAAAATTTTTATTTGTGCTGCTTTGGATTTGAAGATTTGAAGAAAGTGGGGGGGCTGGTTGACCTTTTGACCTTTACATTTATATTAATATCTTCAAAGCCAAAGTGGCACAAACGACAATTTTTGCTGCACAAACGGAGTGAAAACGTTTGACACTAATTTTGTCTAATTTGAAGAAGGTGGGGGGGCCAACTTCACTCAGGTGGGCAAGAGTCAGAAAATGCTGCCACCCCCCACACTATCCCATACCTGTATGACATTAAAATACTTAATAATAATAATACTACTTTGTAATTAATCATCACTTTGTTGTCAAATTGCCCCCTAATTGAACATAAACTCACCAAAAATCTAAAATGTGTACTATTATATATTTTATAATATATAAATATTGTTAAAAAAAATATATCAATTATAAAAAAATAATTATTGAACTTTATTGATCTCACACTGGAGAAATTTAGCTCCGCATTTAACCCCTCCCCTTGGGGAGCAGTGGGCTGCCATTGTGCGGAACTCGGGGAGCAGGGTGGAGTTAACGGTCTTGCTCAGGGACTCAGGGCGGAGGCTGCAGGGGTCGAACCTTCTCAGAACACAAGCACACTGCTCTAACCCGCTAGGACAAGACTCCCCTTTAAATTAAAATAATTTACCATGAAAACAATATTTCTACACAGAGATTCTCCTTTCATGTGTGTGAATCTGATCAATAATATTAGCCCTAATATTGCTTTGTACTTCTTTTCTTAATGAGTGGGCAAATTTTTCCAAATTATAATAGTTCACATTGCAGATTAGACTCTAATGTAAAAGTGCTGTAATTTTTTTTGGCCAAATTGATTGATTTTATTGATCTCAGAGTGGAGAAATGTACTCGTTACATCAGCTCAAATAATCAAAGGACAAGAAGAATGAGTCAAAAGAAGAAAAAGGTGCATGGAATATATATATATATATATATTTATATATATATATATATATATATATTAGGGCTGTCAGTTTTAAAGCGTTAACGCGTTAACTGCTTTAGACTATAACGCCGACATTTTTTTTAACGCACTTTAATCGCGCATCAAAACAAACACACCGTGCGCTTTTGTTCTTTATTTTTCCGCAGCGCTC